TTCACACAACTTTTCCACTTCTATGTTCCTTGTGCAGCACACTTCCATCTCAACAAGTGTATGGTTATATGCGCAAAATTATTTGCGTCAAAATATTCATAGTGTATCACAAAACAATCCAGAAAATTGATCAATTCATGTCACGCATACCATATGCACGCTATAAGAAACTTCAAGGTGACAAAACAGTCTTCATCCAGAGAAGTAAAAATTGCTAGAGACAGTATTTCTAAAGAAGAATTCATGTTGACTTATATGGTTGAATAGTCAAATTTTCGTTATGATCTGTCCCAAATATATAAAAACTAAAAACCCATTAAGTAAAGGTTAGTTTTATCTCACTACAAAACGTTACCTGAGAGAAGCGGTAATTGAAAAGATACATGGGGCAAATTTGTAACCCCCTTTCCGCATGCAACTTCTCGACAAACTCGAAGAAGATAAATTTTTGATGAAAAGGAAAACAAGCGAATTACTCTTCCAACAGTTACAATGACATAAAACTAGGAAAACAACATCAACCTTGATCCCTTGCTGAGCCGATCTTATGTACGGTCATCTAGAGATGCACGCGATTAATTGTGGTGTACCTCGTAAGCCAGCTCTAAAAATCTCGCTCGTTCTGGGGAAAGAAACACTTCCCTTTATCCCCCTTCTCCCTCGGTCTCCTACTGAATTATAGCAACATACATGCAAGCTAATATCTGAAAGATTTGCGAATCCAAAACAGGACTAAAAATTCACTGCAAATTGCGAACATGTTCTTCCATGAATAGGCAGGTTCCTATCTGATTGTGAAAAGATTTTTATCTTCAAAATCCTCTAAGACTTTCTTTGTATCTAATACACATTATCTCTCTTGTTCCCCTATATTGCCAACAATGACTGAAACGTTGTTGGAGCGCCTTTATATTGATCGTATGCTCCCTCTTTGCAGGCAGATTTTGTTTGGCAATGCCATCTAACCTGCGTGAATAGAAAGAGCATTCCTAATCATAGAAACTTCTCGAACGAATTAGGATATTTAGAAATTTACAAATTCTCAAGAGACATCACGATGTACTTCCTATACACCAATAATGCTTTTCAAAGTTTTTCAGAGAGGTTTTGAGACCCGCAAAACATGTAATGAATCTGAATCTCTAACATCCTGAAATTAGTGAGGAGCAGTGGCCGTATTCATCAACAAGCCTCGAGCTTGAAATCTACATCAAGGCAGGATTATTACTGGACACCTGCATTTTTAATAAACATTTCTTAATGGTTAACTCACCTTGAGGTGAAATTGCACCTTGAAATGCCATTAACCCATATTTACGAAGCTGCCAGGTTGAAATTTACTTAAGGTAGCCTCGCAAAGTAGAATTCTACCTTAAGGTTTATTGAAGAAGACGGCCACAGATCGCACACTGATAATCACATTGATAAACAGTATCAACCTTTGCTAACCATCAAAAATCCAACTCCTTTAGTGCACAAGCTCAGTCATTTTTAAAATAATTTCAGATTGTTCCGTATGCGAACGAAAGGGCGCGTCATTGTTATTTGCTGTGCTGCTATTTCGATATTATCACTTACAGTGTATTATGGCGCTCAACCGACATTCAATATAATGCAGATGGACGCGCATAGTGATACAGGTGTTTTGAAGAATCTCTTGATTTTTGCTGTTCTAGTGAACTAACAATAATTTTAGTCACAGTTTAATGCACACCGTGAAAATTTGTCCGATCCTAGTTAGTCGACTTTTGAAAAGCATGCCATCAAGGTATCTATCAAATCGTGCTTGCTGCTGCAAAAGAGCACTCTAAGCCTTTGAAGAAATCGTATTAGGTCGTTCCGAAAGTAATCTCATCTTCTGACTGTTTGCACCACATCGCAATTCAAAAAAAATCAACATTTGATGCAACGTTTCACTTTCTTTCAATTTTGAGCTGTGCAATTCAAACAATAAGCTTTTCGAAGGTCCCAAACTTTGCAACTCAAATTTTTTGATCGTATGTTTCCTAATTGCCTTGCCAGTATTGTCGACAGCTCTTTACATCTACATCATTTGACCTGTACCCTCCTTGTAGAAGTACCCTGAGAGATACGCATAAGTAAGACCTGCTGTCTTACAAGTCTGTTTGCCGTTCAGATGCCAAATATATTACATTGCCACCCATTTTATCGTCAGCACTTTATTGCTTCAATGCGGGCAAGTCTACTGTCTAAATTAGTCTACGGGATATGATCTGTGCAGACTAGCAGACAAACTACAAATGCAACAGCTAGGCAACGTTAGTGTACGTTGAACACTTGCTGAACTTTCGTATGGCGGCCGAGTTTCCAAACCTAGCCGCCTTTCCTTACAGGCATAATTCTCACAAGGCGTCTTCACACCTCTTAGGGCCGTATGCATTAACATTTCGCGGCGAGGGGAGCGGCACCCCCCGTTATGAAGGGACTGCGTGCGGACGCCGCTGCGGCTTTTTCATCATTGGGGACGTCGCTCCCCTCGCCGCAGGGATGTTAGTGCATGCGGCCCTTAGGGCCTTATGCATTGACATCCCTGCTCGGGAGGGGGGGGGATAGCAGCTCGAAAGAAAAGGTTTGTATCCTGAAGCTTAGATATCTGGATTTCACGTTGCCTACCTACCCGTAAGTATTCTACTATACTTCACCATGAACTATCAGTCAGGGGCAAAAAGCTGTAAAAGTCGCATTTTTTAGCTTTTTGTATGATCCCCTGATGATCCACGGGGACGATCGTTCATTCTCTAAAGTCATTTCTCTTTCTTCAAAGTTAATGAAAACTTCAAAGTAAAAAATGAAGTGAAACTGAAACCTGAAATTCAAAGTAGCACTGATTATCTAACTCAACAGTGCTGAGCATATTGCTGATAAGAACAAATGAGTTTCTGAAACATCGAAATTTCCGATAAACTCCAACATTCGACCTGTGGTTCATCGAAAATTTCATGACTCCAGAACATCATTTGTTCTTATCAGTAAAATACTTAGCACTGTTGGATTAGGTAAGCAATACAACTTTGGAATGTTTCCATTATTTTTGAAAAAAGAAAAATGACTTCAAAGAGTGGACGGTCGTCCCCCGCGGTTCACCAGGGGATCATACAAAAAGCTGGAAAATGCGGCTTGTATAGCTTCTCGCCTCTGTTCAATATGTTCATAGTGGAGGATGGTGGTAATACTTACTGACAGGTAGACAGCGTGAGATCCAGATATCTGGAGCTCCAGGATATGAAGCTTTCTTTCAAGCTACAATCCCCTCCCCAGCGGAAATGTTGATGCTTGTGGCCTTAGAGCCTTAAGTATTCCTACCATCCTTCACTATAAGCATATTGAACAGGAGCGAGAAGCTGTACATGCCGCATATTCCAGCTTTTTGTATGATCCCCTGATGATCCCCGGCGACCGACCGTCTTTTTTTCAAAGTCATTTTTCTTACTTCGAAGTTAACGGAAACCCTTCAAAGTTGTACTGTTTGTTTAACCCAACGTGCAATGCGTGTTGCTGATAAGAACAAATGATGCTTGGAATCATGAAATTTGCGATGAATCACAAGTCGAAAGTTGGGGTTTATCAAAAATTCGATTTTTCAGTCCTTATCAGCAACATGTTTAGCATTATTAAATTAGACGAACAGCAGTACTTTAGAAGGTTTTCGTTAACTTTGAAGGAAGAAAAATTATTTTGAAGAAGAGGCGGTCATTACCGGGGATCATCACGGGATCGTAGAAAAGGCTGGAAAATGCGCTTATACAGCTTCTCTTTTGTGTTCAATATGTTCATTGTGAAGGACGGTGACATTACCTACTGAAAGATTATAGGCGTGGAATCCAGACATTTAAAGCTTCAGAACATAAAGCTTTCTTTTAGGTGTGAGTTCCTACCCGGCGGGATTGTTAATGCATGCAGCCCTTAAATGAATCCGTTGGCTAAGCTCATTCTTAGTTGTGCAAGCTCGGAGAATAGTTCTCATGTGTTCTGATTAATGGATGGATAAGCTGAATGACAGATTGAAGTTGACAGAGCAGAAATAAATTATAAAATCTAGCTTTTCGGGACATCTTTCCTGTTGCATAGGGACGAGAAATTTCAAGTTATGTTTTAACGCATGCTGAGGTTACAGTTACAATCATTTTTTCGAAATGTAACGAAATTTTGATGTGTGGGTGGTAGGTTGACTGCAATGTCTTTGTATTTTCTGGATTTGAAAAGTTTGTTACTCGATTCCTGAAATTAGACCTCGACTATGCAATACCGTCGAACTTTTTCTCAGCTTCATTTGTACATATGTCGATGCTGGCAATGCACAAATTGGCCAAAAAGTCTTCGAGAAAAAACATTCTAAGAATATCGAAAATGATTGACTATAAACCTGAAGAAAGTAGCGTGTACTGTAAATTTGTATCAGATGATTTATCCATTATTGCTGGAAGCCTAGAGCAAAGATCTATGTAAGGAATTGTCCAGCTAAAATTTCCAGCACTCTTCTGGATGGAATCTGAAGATTTCGATTGCTAACATAATCATTTTTTTTCATCATTAAAAGTTGTGCCTGGTACAAGACTCACTTGATCTAATGAATTTGTATTCTGACGGATTTGCTACTAGCTCAAAAAATGCAGAGGTTTTTCGGGAACGACCTAAAATTTTCGTTTTGAGTGTTCTCTCCTTCATCATTTTCAAAAAAAGCTGTAGGCCATTAGAAGTTGTGTAATGACGGAGAAAATCCTCATTACACAACTTACACTCGCTTGGTTTGGAATCAGCGACAATCAGCTCTGCTTGTTTCCATGAGAGGGTTGAGGGTTTCTTCAAATCTTTTTTTGAAACTTTCAATACATTGTTATTAGTAACCTAGGCAATGGAAGAAAGCTTGAGGCAAATCACATGATTTTGATTTTTTTTAGCACAGTGCCAATGCGGCCCACTTGGAAGGACCAATCAAGGGAACGACTCTGTCAGATCTAACAAAAGTAATGTCGTATAAAATGGTTGTTGTTGACATTCAATATATTCTTGCAGCAAGTGGTCAGATTGTACGAGACATCAAGATCTGTGAGTATTTTGTAAGCAGTATAAAAATTGATTTTATTCCAATCACGCCGCTGAAGCTTCTTTTCTTTTTTTAGGCGAAGAACGAAGTAATCTTATCGAGAAAATCAAAAATTCGGAGTACGATACTGCTCCCTTCGACAAAAGTAGTCTCATTCCACCTTTTCTAAACTACAGGCCATGGATGGAGGTATAGTAAGCTAGGTGGTGCCAGCAATTTTTAGAAAATTATCACGACATGCCCTGTAGGGTGATCTGACATGCCCTGCGAAGTGACCATAGAAAATGACTAGAAGAAAAATAGAGCAATAAAAACGCTCAAAAATATTGAAATTTGCTTTTTTTGAGTGCAGAGAGCACACTGACCTTCGATCCCTCGGTGATGCCTAAAAAAACCATCTTCTTTCAAACACTGACACGTGTAAATCGTCAAGAACCTCTCGGTTCTTACAAAGCTCCAGTAATTCCCTTGCAATTACCATGACGCAAGATCACGTAACCTTCCATAAACTTTGAATGTATTTGTTGCTTGAAAAGGACGCCACAAATCGAAAATGATGTCAGCCTTCGATAGAAGATGTGCATGTTTGTACTATGCGTGATGCACATAGGATATAGACTCGTCGGGTGTTATGCAACCCAAAACAAGAATCATTTTTCATCTTGTCCCGAGTGGTGATCGTATGGCCTAGCTATGACAAGGGAAACTATATGGACGAGGTGTAAGATGGAAGTCAAATAACGAATGATTTATGGGTATTCAATTTTATAGGCATGTGCCACTTCGCAAAGACTAGTTGGGTTTTGACATTATATTCAATGCGACATTTTTAGGTTGCACCGAAGTACCAGCTTTCTTCCTGCATAATTGAAAAAATAATGAGTGTAGCTATCGACGCGATTTTCTGCTACCTCACCAACGCCACCGAATTTACAGCAAACAATCGTACAATAAGTACGGAAGAGATTGGAGCAAGGTGAATAATCTTTGAATAACGTTTAGCATGATGAGCTACCGAAAACAAAAGAAAAAATATATTTGACTAGCTGACTTACTCGGCTCCTCCCGACCCTATAAAAGCACTAAGGGCCGCATGCACTAACATCCCCTCGGGGAGGGGATCGCAGCTTAAAAGAAAGCTTTATATTTCGAAACTCCAGATACCTGGATTTCACACTGTTACCTATCCGTAGGTATTCCTACTACCCTTCACTATAAACATGTTGAACAGGAGCGAGAAGCTGTACGAACCGCATTTTCCAGCTTTTGTACGATCCCTGATGATCCCCGGCGCTTTCCTTCAAAGTCATTTTTCTTTCTCCGAAGTTGAGAAAAACCATCCAAAGTTGTACTGAACATCTAACACAACAGTGCTAAGCATGTTGCTGATAAGAACAAATGGTGTTTTGAAGTCGTGAAATTTTTGATGATTCATGGGTCGAAATTTGAGGTTTACCGAAAAATTCGACTTTTCAAAAATTCATTTGTTCTCATCAGCGACATGCTTAGCACTGTTGTGTTAGATATTCAGTACAACTTTGGAAGGTTTTCGTTAACTTCGGAGAAAGAAAAATGACTTCAAAGGAAAGCGCCGGGACCATCAGGGATCATACAAAAGCTGGAAAATGCGGTTCGTACAGCTTCTCGCTCCTCTTCAACATGTTCATAGTGAAGGGTAGTAGGGATACTTACGGATAGGTACACAACGTGAAATCCAGGTATCTGGAGTTTCGAAATAAGCTTTCTTTTAAGCTGCAATCCCCTTCCCAGCGGAGATGTTAGTGCATCCGGCCCTAAATAAAGGTCTCATCCCTATCCCTGCACAACCCTCTGCTGTGCCCACTTCTAAATGTCAATTCCCTATCGCCGTTTTTCCACATGCCCACTCACTCTCCTCCTTGTGCCAACTTCCAGCCCTGTAGCTCGAACCAAAAATCTATAGCCCGATATCAGTCGATGACGAGAATGACGTGCCCTACCACACCCGTCCGCCCCGAAGTGTGTGTGTGCAAAGTTTGTCCCGACGGTTTCGAAAATAGAATTTTCTACTCGGAACTTGTACAGGCAGACAGAATTATATGAAGCAAATCTACGCTAATCCCTAATTTCAACGAGCGTTAGCTCACTACTTTTGAGACCACGAAAACTGCCTTGCTTGCACTACGCCTCAACATTACATTTCATTCACGCTTCGAGGCCATCCAAATCAAATCATCAACATCTACGTTTTCTGCCGGCAGCTTTATCGCCCGACCTCTTTTCACATCGTATCTGAGAACACTTTGTATTGTTTCCTGCTATGCATTGCAGAGTGAAGAAGACGCATTTTGCTTGAACTCGCTTTCAGTGCTTACTTGATCTTTTTAGGATTGCACCAGTGTGTTTAAAAAATTCACTCCCGCATGTACCTAATCTTTGTTGTCATACAGATATAGCGGCGGACCAATCATTTAAGTGTACTGGTTGGAGTCCTGGCGCACAAGCCTAAACAGTTTCCGAGAAATGATCACTGTTTTGTGTGCAGAACTTATTGGTAAAGCAAATCTCACTGTTCTGTTATACTGTTACCTAGATCCTCGTTTCGTCGAACTTTTGCGAGCCGAAGACAACGTTTACACGAGATCCTCTTGTCGTCCCCAACATTTTACCTTCATTAAGAAGACCAGTGGAGAACTGCAAAAACCGTCATTCTCTTCACGAAGGGCATTTCGAAGGACCTTCGGGAATACCGTCCAACTTGACTGCTGAGTTTGTTGTACAAGCTTTTGACGAAGATTATGCTCGCTTGCATATGAGCATCGATGAAGCTCTGCCCCAAGAACAAGCTGGATTTCGCAAAGGATTCAGCTACATGGACCACATCCAAACGGTTTCGAATGTCACAGAAGTTTGACGGGAATGCCAAATGCTTTTCGTCCTAACCTTCGTCGCCCACTAGAAAGCTTTTGACAGCGTCAAAACCATGCCACCTTGTCGGCGTAGTTGGTTAGTCGATCAATAAGCGACTCAGCTTACGTAAGAACTTTAGCCGACTAGTAAAAGAACTGCACAAAAACGATACAGGTATACCACGCCCTCGACCATCCAGTTGGAAAGGAGTTCAACAAGGTGACCCTATCTCCGAAGCTGTTCACCGCGGCTTTCCAATGGACGATGAAGACACTGGACTGGGACGAGAAAGGCATACGAGTTTATGAGAGATTCCTGTCGAACCTCGTTTCGCGAAAGGCATCGTTCTCTTTTTGAGCAATATCACTGAAGTAGAGACGACGCTGAAGAAAAAACTAAACGAAGCGGGAAAGAAGATCGGCTTGCGAAAATCGGAAGAAAACTAGGTTTATGAAGCGCCCTTTGCGAGTGTGCGAAAATGGAACTGGAAGGCACTTCTATCACAAAGATGCCTTCTTGTGTATTTGGACTTTCTATGAACATGGAGAACGACTTGAAGGGAGCAAGTCAACAGGTAAGAAGGCAGCCTGGGTGGCCTTCGGGCCTCTGAAGAACGCCATCGACCAACAGGACGAACCCGGAATTTCTTTTTGACTTTGACACTTTTTTTCTTTTTGACTCAACCGTTCTCTTGGCTCTCTTAAGCAGTTGAGCCCTGGCCAAATATGAGACTTTGGCGATTTCTGGAGTTTTGTTCGCGTCTAACAATGATCAGAGAGGACACCGGCTCAGAATGGAATAATCCAGACTCTAGTAACTATAAAGGGTGCAAATGTAAAAGAATGAAGTGTCGAATCTGTGAAAGAATCAATTTTGACAATACTGTCAAAAGTTCAACAACAAATTATAATTTTAAAACTAACAAAACCCCCACAATGGTCGGCCGCCTCATCGTGGCGTGGGGGTGACACTGGATGTCGAATTGCGATGCACAGCCGAGTGTATACTCTGGTAGGGCCTCCCAAGCTTGAAGGAGTTTGACGTTTCCAGTTTCAGCCGGATGCCTAGCTAAGAGCCGGCCAGGCCAGATCCCCCGCCGTCTGACTTTCTCAGGTCGCTAGGCGGTCCCTCCCCGCTCCACATCAGGGTCAGCGATCGCCTCGTGAAAATCAAGAGTTGGCCTAGTAAGTCTGCTCTCGTAGGGGAAAAATTCTTATTATCCGTTCAGCAAAGAAAAGAGAAATAAACCCTGCACATCGGAGCCCGCCTACGGCGCCGGGTTGGTAGCAAGAACGATGTAAGGGTACTCAGGGCGCCTTTCGGATTGGACAAAAACGACACGTCTGCCCGGACGACACGCCATGGAGACTGCCTCATGCTCTGCACCTACAACGCCAGGACAGTCTCCACAAACGCCGACTTCCACGCTCTTCTCGATGCTGCAGAGCACATCAAGTACCACATCATCGCTCTACAGGAAACGAAGTCCAGGAAGAAGGACGTGCGACAGATGAGTGATGGGACCCTCGTCATTCGTGGTAGTGAAAAGGTTCGGTTCCATCACAAAACGTTGGAGGCGTTGGCTTTGTCGTCCACCCACTAATCGTCCATCTTATCGATTCGAGATCTTGTCACCTCGACTAGCCATCCTACGACTACGACCTCCACGTCAGAAGACTATCAATAACAATTAACATACCATATATAGGTGATATTTTGGATTAGCTCAAACTCCACAAGTTATGTAACAGTCCGAGAATTAGAAGGGAACATATAAAAATCCAAGATGAAAACAAACTGAACAATACCAAAGTATCCATAAGATACAATCTTGGTAAACCGGCAGGTTTGAAGTTTAATTACAATAGTTTTTTGAAAGACTTGACGAGTCTACCATAAAGTCCATAGAAGAAAAAGAATGCGAATGTAATAAGTACATCGATTTTGTTGATAACTACCACAATCATGTTTGCACGGGAGATTTGAATTTTATACAGAACGAAAAGTTAAGAAAGATATTCAGAAAGGGAACAAAATATAGAACTCATGTGGTAATTACCAAAGGCGAAATTCTAAAAGTATTAGAAGAATTGTGTTCACAGTTAACATTGAAATACATTCGAAAGTACAAAGCTGCCCATTCCATCAAATTTCGACTCACACATGAACTGAAAGAACACATTAAGAAAAAAATCAAATCTAAGTAATTCAATCTCTATGATCCGGAACAGATAGACTGCGATGATTATGACGTGAAAATCTTGAGAGATTTACAAAGATACTTTATCATAACTCCAGTAGACAAAGCCTCGTCATACAGTTTTACTTGCAAGAAATTCTACTTGAAAATGATGAAAAAGAAATGGAGCAATCGGCTTCGAATAGGTACACTTATGTGCCCACTACTCTAAAAGAATATGATGTTTTGATCAAACATAAAAGAATTCTGAGTGGTCTAAACATTAAGTTGGAAAACGAGTGTGACATAATTACTAGAATATATGGCATACCAAAAATGCATAAAACTCCGTTCAAGTTTTTTTTTCATTACTGGTGCTAAAAGAAGTACATTAAAGCCTTTGACTAAAATTCTACAGTTAATACTTGCCCACATAAGAAAACATTTTCAGAATTACTGCATAGTCATTTGGCAAAGAACAAAAAAGAAATATTTGTGGGTCATAGAAAATAGTAGGCAAGTGTTGAAGGAGCTAACAACAGCTCATGGTAGCCTACAAATGTTAGGTTGTCCGGAAATTAATGTCCGTTTTGAGTTTCAACGGCAACAAGTCATAAATCTTTGATTCCTGAATAGCTTTCAAGGTACCATTTGATAGAGCAAAGCAAGCTCTACAAGACGGCTTTCTTGCTTTAGCAAGAGCTCTGATCCACCTCGAGTTTCGAGCCAAAAAACTAAAAAGATTCAACTACCCGAAAAATCGAAAAAATTCATAACTTAGTTCATAAGAATCCTGCAAAAATTCTAACTTGCTCACGTAAACACTATCCACATAAGACATATATGTACGCCGTTCGTATTTTTTCCTCTGTTAGAAATCGAAAAAACGAAAATGTTCATTCTTTTGCCAAA